AAGGTGAAGGGGACCAACATGCGAGAAAGCTAATAAGCAAATATCCTACAACTTGCACTCCAAATGGTCTGGTTTTTTAATGGAGTATCTAATGGCCATGCTTCTAGCTGGATTTGTTTTGGCTATACAATTTGACTCTCTTTTCTTCCTTTCTGTTTGTGTCTCTTGCTCTGTCTTGTTTGCAAACAGGAAAGCAGCAACTTGTCTTGAAACAGAACGATGCATATACTGCCATGTTCTCAGCAATTAATTGAGAAGTTCCTGTGAAATGAAGATATAATGAAACTCATGTGTTATGTACAGGCTGGCCAGAAGTCCCAACAGGCCCTAAACAAAATGCACACCACTTGACAAGGGGTAGTTCCAAAATCCAGTAATGTGTTAAGTGCTGGGGAAAGGAGCTAATTTGTTCCCTGCTGGTGCTGGTCTCCTAATCCTACCATATATATCAAGTGATGCCTTCCAGGCTTTCAAAGACATCTTTGCCCTATGCAAGAAAAGTTACATTCTAAATGATGCAATGGAAGCACTGTTTTTGGAGGCAATGTTGTATCTACCTGAGGCTTAATACACTGCCAAAGGCACATATTTTAAAGCCAGGAAGGGGTGGGAGATCATGTCTGTGACATCACAAGTTCCCACCTGATTCATACGGTGAACAGACAGCTTCAGTCTCCAATTCAGAAACCCTTTCTTCTGAGCCTTAACCTGGAGAAAACTATGTGTATTAACAATTATAATGTCCTTACATGGTAATTCCACGGCTCAACATACATGGTCAGGTGTGCCATTCTAATTCTCAGGGAACACAAAGGGGGACCACCACTGCAAGGCTACGTATACATCCATGATTCGCAGTTGCTGGCTGTTCTGTAGCAAGTCAGCACTCTCTTGGTGACTTTGAGCTTTTGATAGTCTCCAGCTGAGCGCTTGGCTATCTGTGATGAAAGGGATTTGCTTCTTCAGTGGCTCATGAAAAGAAAAATACCTTGTACAGAGTTGCTGCAAGACTGCAAAATCTAAACATTGCTGTTTGCAGCAGTCGTTCAAAAATATGGATTAACTTAGCTACATAAAACAAAGCAAAAAAATATGCAAAACCATTCATGCCTAGGATTCATTTAAGCAAGTCCTAGATTTATGAACCTTTATTATAGCAGTACTGTCACTGGATCTGAAAGACTAAGCCTCAACGAGCAACAGTTACAACACTACACTTAAGGAGCAGTACTGAAGCACCTAGGATTTGAGATATAAATGATCATACGTTACAGTTGGCCACAGGCTGCAGGTGCTGGCCCTGACACATAAACAAACGGTGGACACTGGAATGTACACAAGGAACAGCAGAGATAAATCCTGCGTGTTCCAGGTTTTCTCCATTCACTGTGGCCTGCAGCAAATGGAATAGCCAAAGTAGCCAGGAGCTCTGTCCTCACACCAGAATGGCTGCAAACCTTAGCGGCCGGCTGACAGAGTCTGAGCTTGGACCTGCTGTTGAACAAGGATGGGATTTTGTACATACTGGATCAATTCCAAAGCTGATGTCAATGGAAGCTTTTCTCCTGGGAACAATAGAGCCTCTCTCAATTGAATTGAAAATGTACAAATCCCTTGCTAAGAAAAGTGGACATTTATCTTATTATCATTCTGTGTGGCATATATGGATCCTTATTTTGTCTCTTATATTCCTGTGTCATGTCCTGTGCATTATTTGTCAGAGATCCCTAATGCTTCCTGACTGAATTTGGTGGCTAAGATTGGATTTCTGTTCAACTAAAGCAAAATCAAACACCATACTGATAAGAGGTATTAAGGAAAGGCACAGAATGTAACCATCTGCAACTGGATATTATCCAGATACGTTTCACAGAAGGATGGTGGGAGCTGTAGTCCAACACATCTTCAGGGTACCAGGATGAGAAAAGCTGTATTTTAGATTAGCTGGGGGGTTATTAAAAGAAGAAGAAGAGGGGGAGGGGGAGAATGCAAAGTATTACCAAGCTGACCTCAGACTCTAGCTTTTTTTACCCTCCAAAACCAAAAGAAGTTTGGATTAAACAGTTAGTGTTCCCATATATGTCAGGAATACTGAGAAATATAGTGGTTTCCTATTGATCTTTAAGGTACAATTTAGAGTGAATGCCAAATTCTGCTTTCATGTTCAGAAGCAGTGCTATGAGCTTGCAGGCTCTCTCCTTCCCTTTTCATGAATGTTCTTCCAACAGCTTCTCTTTACTTCGCTTCACTTTGCTTTGCTTTTTGCTGGCCATAGTTTTCTGTGCTTTCAGATTGTGGTTTGGAGGCAAGGTGCTAACCACAGTTTGCCAACTGGGACATCAAGGCAAATGTGATTATCTAAAACCTCAAAGCAGAGAATAGAACTCAGGAAAAGGTGGGGTACAATGACTACTTACACATTGCCAAACTGGAGAAAATGCATCACCCCATAAAAGAAAGGAAGGAAGAATGAACGGATGGATGGAAGGTCGGACAACGAGGACACGCATTTGCATAAAAACTGCATTAGTGTATACATACAGGAGTCAATCCAGAAATAGTTGCTGGAATTTGAGTAGAAATGCAGTACTTCTCTCCCTAGTAGAAGGAATGTGACCAGATGACCTGTGTGCCTGTGCGCTACGCAATCCAAATTTGCTCACCTTCCTTGTGATTTATTAGCTTTAAGTCAGACTGGAACTGAACAGTCCATCAAACAGTGGACTGCCCTGTGACACTCGTCAAACAGAGAGCTCCTCTCTCTAGTATAGGATACGTGGCGACCCTAGGACAGGAGGCAGTGCACAAATTCACAGAGGCACTCCTAATCACCAAACAGAGATTCAGCATTATGTCTGAGATGAATCAAAGCAATCGCTACTGGAGGTGCAGGTAGTCCCTGAGTTGTGAGCAATCCATACTTAAGAACAAGCGGACTGCCATTAACCCTGTATGAATATCTCTCACAAAAAGCCATGAATATCTCTAGGGAACTACATGATGCATCAGCAGTGACCATGTAGTTCCTAAAGATATTCATGGCTTTTCTCTAGAGATAAGAGATTCTCTAAAGATAGCCAAGGCTATCTCTACAGAACTATGCAACATATCTCTAGGGAACTATGTGATGCATTTAGAGATCTGTCATCATTAGCAGCCTAGTTCCCTAAATATAGAGCAGTCACAGCTTTTCTGTCTGGGTGTTGAGCATACCCAGGCCAGTGTGGTTAAGGTCACACGTAGCGTGTGTAGTTCCCTTTTGGTTTTTCTGTAGCATTTGCCCTTCAACCAGGCCGTCAACTGCTACAAGGCCATTTATGGTGAGAAAAAGAAATGGCAGAACAAACAAGCCTTGGGGCCTGCATACAAATTTGATTTAAGGATGTTCTCAGGAGCAGAACTCAGACGTAATCTGGGGACTACCTGTACATATTCTTCCCATTTCACAGACAGAACCCTAAATTATATAGTTTCTACAATGAAACTGTGTCGCACTTTGAAGTATACAAACAACTTTTCAAAGTCTCATTCCTTTCCATAACTTACCCCTTAAGTGCCCTTAACTTAATCTGGAACAAGTTCTGCCCAAAGGCAGAACTTCTTCATTCATGTCCCACAGCAGATATGCCGAGGACACACTCTAATGTTCATTCATATTCTCTCTTAAAATTAATTCTCCCTCAAAGCTAATTGTATGCCTCTACTGCCCACAGGAAAATGTGGTGCCTTCCTACCTGAACCCACTGTTACGTGTTCCAAACAGAATATGCAAAGTAGCCATCCTTTACTATTTTGTTGCACCCTGGGAGATTGCAAAGTGTGGCTTCCACAATCCATTCTCATATTCAGCACTAGAATAAATTAATTTCATTCTTCACTAAACTTGGTGAAGCAAGATGCACTTCAGGATGGGAAAGAAAATCATTCAGTTTGCATTCTACTTTAATTCTACCTAACTCAACTTCCAAAGACAATACACAAACTGAAATGGAGTTATAGATTTCACAATCTTCCATTTTTTTCAGTGCAGATTTCCTATTAAAATATCTACAAAATGCATAGCTTCATGAAATATTGTACAAAATTATATTAAGCAAAATTATGCAAAAACTATGAAATTCAGGAAAAAGTATAATTATGGGAATTTTAAGAGACATGTACAAGAAAATGTATGCATTCTTGTGCAAAATTTTCAAACAATCCCAAACGAATAGGAAATGCAATGAAACAAACTTGACATAAGAAGAATGAGAAACTGAGCAAAACTAAAATTAAAAATGGGTTCACTCCTAACCAATCAGCCTGTGCTTGGTTCCAGTCAGTCTTACCTTTCGCATGAATGCGGCATGGAAACTTCTGTGCATTTTCATGGGATACCATGGTGCAGAGTTTCATTGTTTAGTAGAATTCAATAATGGGAGGGCTCGGTGTAGTGCCAGCGTGGTGCAGTGGTTAAAAGCGTGGGTCTAGGACTCAGGCGACCTGGGTTCTAGTCCCTGCCCAGCCACGGAGCCACTTTCGGCCAGTCACAGACTCTCAGCCCAGCCTACCAGGTTGTTGCTGTGGGGATAAGATTGAGAGCAGCAGCAGGAGAATGATGTAAGCCACTTTGAGTTTAAGAAACAAGCAGGATATAAATCAAATATATAAAATACATTCCAATTCCTGCTCACCTACAATGCTTTCTGAGTGGTTTGTGAAGATTATTAGAATCAAGAATCATGGAGCCCTTCATATGCTGAAAAGAATAAACATTTATAACTTGTAAAACTGAGACTGTTGAGAGCACTGGAGCTTGAACATTTGCTAGCATTTCAGTATTAGTATTGGAAAACACCACGCTCATTTTCCATGCACCATATTTGCACCATAACTCTTTGAAAACAAGAACTATCGACAAACAGTAATCATATGTAATACTGAACCTCAGTGAAATCTTGTTCCTGTCTACTCCGTTCCAGAGCATTCAATTGGGTTTACTCTCAGGTAACTGGATGAAAGATTGCTGCTTGAATGTATGATTTCCAGGCCAATTAACATTTTACTATGCAATATTACTCTGTAATAAAAGGTAGTCCCAAAACAAAAACCTATTACAGCCCCTGTATATTGACAGCTTACGAGATGAAAACTAATTACTTTGTGTCTTTTCCCAACAAGTTTGGTTCAATTAGCTGAACTGCTCAGTTCAAAGGTGATTAATTGAGGCCTAGTCTCCATCACAGAATTACAGTCCTGTCAATGGTACACACAATGATGTAGTGAAAATTTAAATTTAAGCTCAATTGCCTTGACTAAATCTTGAGGAAGGGGGAAAAGAGGAAGAAAAGTGAGGGCAATTGGAATTCAAAACTCATCTGAGGAAAAACAATTAATTTCCAGCTCTGCTGTGACCCAGTGGTATAGCATGCACATAAATACTTGTCTATCAGCCGCCAGCTCCTAAGGCGGCAGAATACTGAAACAGTTCCTCAGCCTGGCTGGAGCAATGCTCAGAGGATTAGGCATGCACGAGGTACTATCAGGAACCCCTCGAAGTACGCAACTAATAACCATTCAGCTCTTGTTCCTCCAATCCTCTTAGCAATGTTTTGAAATGTTTAATTATTATATTCAGACTAATCGCTTTTTACAGGGCTTTCTCCTCCATGATTTTGTTACATTATTAAGCAGCTACTTAACCTCCTTCTTTTGTTTACACATTCTGATTGGGGGAACATGTGCCTTGGGATGCCTTGGAATAAATACACTACCTGTGGAGGCTATTCCTTTGTAACGACTGGCTGAGGAAAGAGGAGAGCAGAGAAGAGAATTTTTCTAAAATTGTTGTACAACAGAGTGATAATTATTTGTGCCATGCTGCTAGGTGTTTCTATTGTTTATTATGGTTCTGCCACATAATTTTCCTCATCTTATTCCTGTTTCACTGCCATTTGGTGATTTGCTAGGATTTACAGAACAGTCCTAAGTATGTGTACTCAGAAGTAAATTCCACTGAGTTCAACAGAGCTTACATCCTACTCAGGATGTTCAGAATTTCAGCCTAAGCAGCCTGCTCCAGGTATCTGATATTAGAAGTTAAATGGATGACAACTGAAGAAGATATATTGCTTGGGACCACAATATCTGACAGAACACCTCACCAAAACTCAATCTACCTTGACACTATGATCTATCTCTGCAGCCTCCCTGCAACTGCCCCCTCCAAGGAAGCCCTGGAAGGTGGCAACACAAAGGAGGGCCTTCTCAGTGGTAGCTCCGAATTACTTCCCCACTGAGGCCACATGGCACCAACATGGTCATCTATTCAGCACCAAGGTAAGACTGCCCTCTACTCCCAGCCAGTTAATGGCAAATGGTGGCATATGTCAGCTCTTTTAACAGATCTAGTTTTTGCTGAAATTGTTTTAGTGGTTTAAGCTGTTTTACACTTTGAATTTTGAGTTTTACACAGTATTTTAATATATTTATATCCAACTGAATTGTTGTGAACCTCTCAGAGAGCATTAAGCAATATATAAATCAAAATAATAGCAGCAATAATATGATTATATTACTTTCTAAGTGATGAATTCCCTTTCTAGCCATATAATAAGTTACATGTGCATAATCTTAGAAATTATATATATAAAGGCAAAACAAAATACATATTTTTAAAAGTGCATAGAAATATCTGTCTAGAACACAATTTTTGCTGGTTAGAGTGTTGGACTGGGGGCTTAGGGATCCAGAGTCTACTCCCCATTTGGCTCTCTGAAGCTCTCTGAGTAACTTTGGGCCAGGCTCTGAGTCTCAGTCCATTCTACCTCACAGGGCGGTTGTTGTGAGGATAAAATGGAGCTAAGCCACCTTGGGTTCCTCACGAGAAGAAGTAAGGTGGGGTATAAATGCAATGTGATGATGATGCAAAGTGAGAGATACTATTTCTGTTGCTGCTAAGCTAGGAGTGACAGTGGACAGGAATTGACTGCTATGAAACAGTACCAGAAGGTTAACAACATGCCACCTGGAAGTAAATGAGGCAACATGCCCGGAGGCAAAAGCAAACAATTGAAGTTTTCAACAAGGCATTCTAGGAAAATGCCATGCCTCTCGAGCCCTCAGAGAAGAGGACCTATCAGTCAGTGGTAGAGCATATATAAAGGTCCGCTCCTCAGAGTCTCATGTTAAAAGGATCTCTGGTTGCAGGAGTGGGAAATATTTGTGCCCAGGTCCTTGGCCGCCTTCCCTGACATGATGCTCTCCAGTTGTAATGCTGGGAGTTCTTGTCTAAAATATTTCATGTGAACCAAGTTGGGGAAAGATACCTTAAGGAGCTGAGGGAGGCAGAGCAGAGAGCCCTGGGCTAGATTGACCTGTGGTTAGATTCTGTATACTGCAGCTTCATACATTCCAATAAGACTCAGGAAATCACCCAGAACTACAAGAAAGGGCTTGGAATTTCCAAGTACATGAATTTCCATATAGGAAGTCTAACTAATAGAAAACTAGTGTTTCAGGAAGAAAGGTTCTAGGCTAGCTTTCTCCCAGATATGTGAGACTTACAGCCTTAGAGAGCTTAGAGGTAAAGAAATTAAAGAACAGCCTTTGCTTACTTGGCTCAGTATATAACTTGGTAAAAGAAAGAGGACTAGATTGAATTTCCAGCACAAGCAGTTATCTGGGGGGATCTTTAGTCTTTCTGCACCATGCAACATTTATAGAACAGAATACGACAAGATGTCTTATGTCATTATAAGACATATAATGAAAAGACTCACTCACTATGATACTGGCAGTCCTCCATAAAAATATGCATGCTTGTACAGATATGGCTGAGATAGGGTTTAAAAGGGATATTAAGCAATCCAGGAATAGATCCTGTTGTATGAATTCAGATCAGTATTTCTAAGTGAAGTCTCTTAATACAGAAGCACTGCACAGATCACACTTGAAAAACTGTGTTTAGCTCTAGCAAAACTACTTTGGGCATTTTGGAAGCTGCTGCTGCTGCTGTGGCACAAGTGTTTGAGGTGCATTTGTACCTCCTGAAACAGAGCAGGATGGCACCAGATAAACTGCAGGCAGTTGCTTTGATTGTGGTCCTTATACCTGCAAGGTAATTGCAGCAGTTATCACAATCGTCTTTCAAATGGGGCTCTGGAGTTCCAGTGCACCTAGGTGAGGCACAGCCAATGCCATCTGGATGGGGTTGCACAGTCATCAGTCGCACAAGCCATGGGCATCATTTTGCCCGCACTCAATGTTGTCTCTTAGCATAGCGTGCCCCTCAACCAAGGCTCCCTAATATTTTTCAGCTTATGCTCTGGCTATCCACAGAAATTCTGTGAAGGCAATCAGATTCTTACTCAGACACATATCCAAAGGACACTATCCATTACTTTTCCATAGGATGCATTCCTTTTCTTATAATGGGATATGTATTCAGATGTACATCCAAATGTGGATACTGTCCATTCCTTTCACTAGGAAGGATGTGCATTTGATTCACTTTCTTAGTCTTCAACTTCCATTAACCTGTGCAAGAGTTCAAGCTTCCAGTCATGAATATTTTCCCCTTGACAGAAAGTAAATTGGATAGAATCAGACAGAAGGAAGGTATGGAATAACTGTCTGCATCAGTGAAATGTCCATTTGGGAAATGTCATGTGCCAAATTATTGCCACAATACACATTCCTAGCAATGTTATTCCAGGCCAAAATTGGAGTGCGGCGGCAAGACAAATATTCTGGTAGACAAAGCATGTTGCTTAGTTGCTTCCATTCATATTTGCTGGTAGCCATTACAAAGCAAGATCAAATGTAGGTGAGAGTTTTCAAAGAGTGGTTTACTGAGATTCCTGAATTGGTCCATAGCATGGCACCAGGTCTGTACCAAAGAAGCCTGCCTCCAAAATACCACCTAAAGTGAAATTCAACACAAATCTGAAAGTTTCTCAGGCAAAATGTCTAAAGGAAGGAGGTATGATTATTGATTTTTATTCTGCCCCACAGTATAGGAAAAAGTCCCTGGTTCAAATCCTGCTTCTGTCATGTCCTCACTAAGAGACCTTCAGCAAGCCAGAATCTCTCAGGTGCAATCGCTCATCTGCACTTGAGGCATGGTAAGAATACAACTCACTTACATTACAAGGTTGTTGCAAAGGTTATGTCAAATGAGCACTATATAAATGTGGAGCCTTAACAGCAGTTGCTGCAGCATTCCAGCCCTCCCCAGTGGAATTCACCTACCGTTAGCATGAGGGCCAGTGTGAGCCAGTGCCCTCTAGATGTGCTGGACCAAAATTCCCATTGTCCTTAGGCAGGAAGCCAGTCTCAGCTTGTTGGACAAAGACTTGGGACACTTGGTGTCAAATCCCCCTGCAGCCATGGACCTCAATTGCTGACCATGGGTCAGCCACTACCTCTCAGCCTCATTCACCTCCAAAGCTGCTTGTGATGAAAAAAGGAAGCAATTGTGTCAACCTGAGTTCCTGGGAGAAAAGATGGTGGCAAATATTTGTTTGTTCATTTGTTTCGTTTTTATACCACCTAACAGCCAAAGGCTCTCTATGCAATCTATACAGACAAAATATGAAATCTGTAGCAAATGTTGCTTTTCAGGTAAAACATCTGAGGAATTTGGCTGTAAGAATTTCCTTCACACCACTGACATTTGGGACAGAGAGATGAAACTCCCCTCCATAAGATGCTTACCAGTTGAACGTAAAAGCCACATGATTATCAGGCCTTTAGAAATGCCTTAAGGGGAGAAGTACAAATAGAAACAGGACAAACTCAGAGGAAGTTCATATGAGCCTGGGGAAAATAAAACTCCCAAACAAAGAGATATTTGAAGGAGTAGTTCATAACACACAGGTGCCACAAAAGCCTGAAGAGACAAATGAAACAGATGAAAAACAACCAATTGCCTGAGCATATTTCACTAGAAATGTAAAGAAATTAATGAATAATCCAAAACATTTTATCATCTTCCAAGATCTATTTCAGTGGTATAAACAACCCAAGGCTCTGCACTATGTCAATATGATTTTCAGTTCGTCAGATGAGGTTTCTTCCCTCATTGTAGACAAAACTATTACCTTTTCTAGGTTTGACATGTATCAGTTCTATACAGAACAGGACACTAGAGCAAAGGAGAATGTACAACTCAATCTAATGAAACCTCAGAAGAAAAAGGAATTAATTTGTTTATGCATTCTTGTGTATGGAGTGTACAAAACAGAGCCAACGGTTGCAATCAGAGTGGACCTTCTCCATATGCACAGGGCAGGTAAGCTGCTGAACATTGTGTTTCATGTATAGAACTGATGACCCTGCAGGCTGTTAGTCAGTATTTGCATCGTAACTCCATAACACATTGCTGCCAAGGTAACAGCTCGGCCCAAGTCCCCCTTGTGCTGGCCAACGGATGGCCATGAGCCAGTATTTAAAATTTCCCACAGAGGCACAGAAAACCTGGCGCAGCATAGCTCTTGGGCTTGCTCCATCAGGCACTCCAGGACACTGCGAGACATTTTGAATGTTGGGCTGTGGAAGCCCACTTCTAACACCAGGTAAATACACATGCAGGAGCTTTCAGAAGAGGAACCTGCATAGCATGACTTACAAGGACACTTTGCCAGGGTTGCCCTCACACCTGCAGTCCGCCCTGTCCCCACAGAAGTGAACTTCAGCAGCCTCCACTGCTATGGAGGCTCGAATGTCTGTACTGGCCCTCAAATTGTAAAGGAGGAGCGGATTCACAAGTTACGTGTGGTGCAACTGCAATTGTGCTTCCCCTTCTGCTGGCTACAGCAACAAAAAGCAAAGGAGGAGAAAGGCAATTCCCACAGGTGAAGCATGTGCCTCCCTTCCTTGTGACCTTCCCTCCTCCTCAGTGCCCAGAAGCCACACTTCAACCTGTTCTCCCACCCCCACCACCATCTTGAGGAAATGGATAAAGATACCCTTTTGAAAGGCCATATTCAGAATGCCACCCATTTTTTAGCAAATGCCATTCTCAGATGGAAAGAAACAGAAGAAAAGGAAGAGACACAAGCCTTGAGGGGAGGGGTACAAAACTACAGGAAGGAACCACAGGCCGCAGCTGCAATTGGAATAGGTGCTACCCTGGTAACCAACTGAAGGCTTGCTAAGAATGACTGAAGGCTCAGAGAACTGCCCCTTATATTAGCGAAACCATTGTTTCTGCTAATATTTCTCTGAAGCATATTGAAAGAACACTATTTGCAGCCTGAAGGTGGATGGCATGACACAGTGTTCAGTTTAAACATACACTTTAAATTCTGTCTTTGTGCATATACTTCTACTACGTGTAAATAAAATAACATCCCCTCCTCACTCCCTTCCAAAGTGAAGTGCCACTTTCAAATATTTCCACTTTACTTGCGCTGAATTGCCGGAGATCAAATGAGTCAATTAAGCACGGTGTCTTTTTTGTTTGGAGGCGAGATGAAGGTAATTTGCTGTTCGATACATCTGTTTCCTCATCAGCACAGTGAGGATCAGGCTAATTAGGGGAGGAAAACAATATGGTCATATGGATAGGCCAGATTGCTTGTCACTCAGCTATTCAATGTGCAGGCTCTGCTTTAAGGACAGGAAACAGAAGATGACTGTGAGACTGCCTTCCTTTGGGCGGAATGGGGAGAAAAGAAACTTCAAGCACACAGAGGGTAGCATTAATTCCATAAGGTTTTCACCATCTCCTATCCTTCCTAATTCTCCTACTAATGGATGTGTGCTTTGGTGCCAAGACACTGAATCGAATAATTATTTTTGTGTAGAGGATTCTCATTTACAGGACTGTCACTGGATTAAGGTAATGTGTTAATATTATGTGCTGCTGCTGCTGTCACATGCAGTCATGTTGTCTCTGACTTGTGGCAACCCTATGAATGAATGTTCTCCAAAGTCCGTGATAGCCCTGATCAATTCTCAGAAACTCAAGGTCATAACTTCCCTTAAGGAATCAATCCATCCAGCACATGATCTCCCTTTTCTACTGCTGCTTTTGACTTTCCCTAGCAGTAGGGAAAGGGGGATGTGCTTTCTTATGATGTTCCTAAAGTATGAGTGTGCCCAACATTCATGTGGGATTTACCAGGAACTGAGCCCCACACAACTACCGTGCAAGCAGCATTTCCCTTCTACATCATGGCAGCAACCTTTGCTTGTGCTACACATGACATGGAAGAAGGTTGCTGGTTGTGCTGCCTTCATGACATCAGTGATCATGAACTATCTCTTGCTCATCCCACTTTCTATGACAGGACCAAGCACAACAGGAAGTCCACAAATGCTAGAGGGACTGATTCCATGCAGCTTTATCACAACCCTAGTCTCAGTTTTCCTTTCAATTTATTGGCTGCAGTGTCTGCTTGAATTGATGATTGAGCCTAAGTATGAAAAATCACAATATCAACTTCTTCACTGTTTGACAGCAACATTCTGCAATTCTTCTCTAGCAATGATTTTTGATTTCTTAATGCCCAGCTGCAGTCTTGCTTTTGTGCTTTCTTCTTTCACTTGCATCAGGATTGTTGAACCAAGAATTATCCAAAGATATTCATAGCTACCCTGGCTAATTCGGTAGAGTTGAAGGCTATGGATTTGGGCAAGGGTGGGCAGAAAGTAGATCTCTAGTATCTTTGACTTCAACTTCAGTATGCCTGACCATTGACAATGGCTTATGGGACTAGAATTCAAAACATCTTCTGCTCAAGGCTGCCATAAGACATTATAATTTGTAATGTTCTTGTTTTATCAAAGTCAGGATTACACACAGGAAAGAGAACTCTTTCCCATTCAGGATTTTGTTTGTTCATTTCTTTGTTTGGCTGTGGGCATGAGGGGATACAAGTACTATTTTACTTCCTGAGTCCTCATTTTACAGTGAAGGTAATTTAAAGTACCATGACAAGAAATAATTCTATAATTCTTTTATTCAAAGGTACTTTTTGGTAATATTTCTAAATAAGTAATAGCCAAAGTATCTTGCCTTTGTTGCTGCTGTTTTAAGTCTACTTTTGCCACAATTACATTTTGTGATACTCAAAATTCCTTATTTTGTTTTCTCATTTTTTCAATAGATTAAATTTGCTGCATGATTTCATTCCTTACAGCTTCTAATTTTGTAGAACTGCAGAGTTCTGTCATCCACAGATGACTCTACAGCCATTCAGGATTGAACAGATTTCAATTTTCAGCAACTAATCAGAAACAGTATGTCCAACAGCCAAGAGTTTACACATAAATTGATATGTACTCGAGTTATTTGGAAAATATAAACCATCTACTGAAGGTAGCTATGAAAGCCACACAACAAAGGAAAGCTCAGTATAAAGCAAGATTTGCTATCATGGTACTGCATGGTACACTTTATTTTATTAGAAGAAGATAAGAATGGGTGAAGAAGGGCATTGATTCACTGGCCTGTGAAATAAAGCTGCTCTAGCCCAATGCTTACTGCAGCTCAACCTTTTTTCTGACTGCAAAATAAAATGGTACCTTAGAAATGAAGGGCCTTACTCTTATTTAGTGCCATGGTGGAATTTGCCTAAAGAAAATGTTAGAAACCATGGAGCCAGAGACCAAGCTAGTGGGAGCACATGCAGAACTGACTGCTTCAGTCCTGTAAATGTAATGTGCTTTGGATGTTCTTTATATTCAGGTGGTTGTCTGCATTTGTAATGCAACTGAGAGAGACTTTTTCCATCACTGTTATAAACAGCACCTTTTGAAAGATGTGCCACAACAACATCTTTGATATCCATTCTAACAACTGGAGTCTAGCTGCCTGAAGCGTTAATAAAGTGATACGTACATTGTTCCCTCTAAGAGGAATCGATATCAGGAAAGGTTTCCTCACTGTCACAGCAATAGGACAGTGGAACCAGCTGCCCAGAGAGGTGGTGGGCTCCCCCCCACTAGAGACATTCAAGGCAAAACTGGACAGCCATCTGAGTGGGATGGTTGTAAATTGGTGTCCTGCAACAGCAGGGGGGTGGACCCGATGACCTGCTTGGCCCCTTCCAGCCCTACTATTCTATGATCCTGTGAATTCTTTGATAATTTCCATAAAGCCCTGACCCTCTGCAATGATTTCCTACTGAACAATTCAAGAGCCCCTGTTGAAGGTGCTCACTCTTCCTTGGATGCAAAAAGAATGCCAGTGATAATTAAGGAAAGTCATATCATGGATCTGTAGGTGTGGTCTTTGTCTGATTACCATGGTCTGAGCTTTAACTTATTCAGGCCATCAGGAAAATCATTAAGTGCAAGTGCCCTTCTTCACATTCAAATGCACCTCCAGTGTGTGCAAGATCAACGTGTGTGTGTGTGCATGCCATTAGGAAAGCAGCAGTGAGCGGATGACTGCAGCTGCACCAATGCCAAGCACAGGCAGCATTTCAAGTGGGCAGATCACATTATTCCCTGCCTGTGCCAGCTTTGCTGTTCTTAATTCTATTCTGTTTCTACATTAATCTGTGATTTTTAAAAGTGTACCTCACAAAATATGCATGCTAAACATATCTTCTCTTAAAGTATGTATTTTCTTCAAGGATGTGTTTTATATGCTGTTTGAGAATTACAGTCACCAAATATGGAGCAGTGTGAAATCTGAAACCAGGCTCCAATATGCACATTGGTCTGCAGTTCAGACTAATTCACACAGAACAAACTCTCAGGCATTCTTAGCCAACACATGTATATTTATATTTGCATTGTACACATAATTACGGATTTTCCATATGGCCCATGTCAAACATAACTCAGGCCCTTATGTCAAACTTAAGAGTTAATTATAAGTCTAAATGTTTGCAAGAACTAATCCGTTCAAGAAGACTATGAGCCTGATAAAATACTAGCCAATCTACTGAGATTTTTTTAAAAAAATATTTTACTTTAAAAAAGAGAGAGAGAGAGAAGAAAAATATTCAGTACCAAAATCTAACTCTATAATGGAACTCACAATTTTGTTCTGAAATTTGGGATGCCATTAAAATTTCAAATCTGCAACTGCTGATTTCCATTGTCAAAACTAAATAGAAAATAGAACAAAAGGTTAAGAAATGTATTGATATAATTTTAATACTGTATCCATGCACGGAGATCACACGAAACAAAAGAAAGCTACAGAAGAACCTAAGGAAGATGAGATTTTTTTAATTTTTTATTTTATTTTTTGCTTCTGAGATGGTTTCAAAAGACTGAACTACATACAATAATTTAATTACCTGGGAAGGCTCAAAACTGCTGTCTCTAAAGCTTCCACTAAACTTATACCTGTGTTGAGGCTACAATAAGATAAACCAATTGATTACTAGCAATAACTTCCATTGCAATTATTTCAATGGTTGATACAAAGAACAAATTATTGATGTGTCCTGTACCCTTGCTTCTTCAGTACTGTCCAAAATGGGGGCCTACTTATCTTTCTCTAAATGCAGGCACAAATATCTCACAGCTCACACAATTTCCCACAACAGAAATGTACAAGTTGGGTTGCAACCTTATATACATCTATGTTGGTATACCTCCCACTGAACGCTCTAGTAGCTATCTCACACTGTCAACTATCCATTTTCAGAAGTTAATGGTCAAACACTCAAATTTTGTTTTTACCATGGAACTTAGCCCATCTGAAGACACTCAAAATTAAGGATACAAGTCTAACTTTCTCTTGTATCTTTTTTTTTTAATCTCAAATTCTTTCCATGCTGAGTATAAAGAAATATGTGAGTTTTGGTATCTGAAATCTGAAACAGACTTTCAGCCAACTGCATCTGCCAAATTCAACAGGAACTGCTAATCCCAGCAGGGAAGGGGCCACATTTTGCCTTCCTGACATACAGCCCTTAACAATGAGGAGCCTATCAGAAAAAGCAGTTGGCAGCCCTGGCCAGAATAGGCAGAGGTTCAAACCAGACTTTTAAGCACTGAGTGAGCCAATCTTATATAGATAGATAGGCACAACTTCATACAGCCCTGCAAATTTGTACAGTATTTTATTTAATAAATCTACAACTCTCCAATGAATACAACTATTCTCCAAGTAACACCTAAGTGAATCAGTCTCCCAGAATGTGGAGAGTTAACTTTTAATTGGTGCCTTTTATCTTATAAAAGTCATCTGCACATAAACCTAATGTATGGACAGATAACCCTATCCAAACACCACAATCAAATTTAATAAACTAAACAGAAAATGTGGACACTAGAAATAGGCAAGTCAAGCTATTTGCCTCATTAAATAGACCATGCCATAAAATGTGCCCTCTTTAAGAACAAGTCTGAAGCACTGTAGGCGAGGATGTTTCTGTGCATGCATGAATGCAAGTGTTATGTCTCTGCATGAGAGAAAGATTACAACAAGATTACAAGATCATATGCAGTGAACACTCAAAACTCTAGGGCTAGCAGAGTTTCGCAGAAGCTGCCATCCCATACAAGTTCAAACATGCCAATGTCATTGTATTTATGCATCAAGTCCATTTTATAGTCATAAACAAGGAGCAATGAAACTTGCATTACTGAGCATTTTGTGCAAAAGCTGTTCACTGCCATGGAATATCCCACAGAAAACTCAATCTATTCATGTTACATTATAAAGCAAGCTTCCAACCTTAAAGGCGGCAAAAACTACATAAGGCATTTTTATTTTAAAACAGATTTTGTAAATAGAAATAAGAATGTCAGGGGGCTAGGAATGATGGGAATTGTAGTTCAACATATCTGCCAGATACAAGTTGGGAAATAATGGATAATGAATTGAATATGTATAACATCCACTAGAGAAGCTAGATAGACCCCACCGCCACCCCCTCAAAGACTTTTGCAATGTTGAAGATTCATTTGGCAACCACAGCTGTCGAACACCTATTGGGGATCACAATCCACCCTCCACCATGAGAAGAACAAAGGAAAGAGGAGGGGAAGCGAAGAAGCACTTGAGCCCAGTTGCAGTGGAATACAGAAGCAGAGGGAAGGTAGTAGGGCCAGAAACATAGCTGCCTCCTGGACTTTAAAACCCTTTCCAAACTGGAGGGAAGGAACATGTGGGTGGGTGAGGGGTGAGAAAGGGAGGAACAGCATGAGATTTAGATGGTTTTAAGAACATCACAACCCCACACGTTCTCTCATGGACCTCACTACTGCACTCTGTATTTATTCAGAGGGAAGGCTTCTTGAGAGAGAGAGAAGGGGAGGGGCCATTGGTCTTGCCCTGCACTACCTGCATGCCTTCTCCAAAATTATACCCATGAGTGACAGTGACTCCTGGAAGAGGAAAGGTTCCTTACCCTTGAAAACAACCACTTGTTAAGCCATGAGAAAATCAGAGGGATGCCATTCATTAAGGCTTCAGTTTTCTTTCAGTTTTGTACTGATCATGGTATAAATTGATTTTCCATACTTTAATCTCTCCTTTCCTTAGTACTCATCAGAAAATCACTAAAGTCAAGGTAAAATTGCCATTATAATATAATTATCCTATTTGTAGAACTATGGCAGAGATTTACCAAATGCAGAACTACTAGCATCCAACTAGTGTTGCAGAAAAACTCGTTCAGATTGCAATAGCATTACATTGCAATTAGAGATATCAGAAGCTGTAACTGGAAGAGATCCAGCAAATTAGTATACATTTTCCTAAGGTGTGGATTAGAGCAAAGATCAGTTTTTACGTTGGAGAATGGCTCTGTTTTTACAAGTCAGGGAATGCAACTGAACTGGCTTCTTGTTAACATCCATGTACAAGCAGCATTCAGTTTGGTGGATCGCTCTTTGTACAGGCCTACTCTAGTGAAAAATATTTTCTTGGATCTCTAGCCTATTTTGAGTAACCTTTGTAGAATTAAAATGCAAAGTTTCCCATTTTGTTTCTTTGCCTACAAAATGAAGGTTACAATTCTCAGACTTTGCCATAGTTACTTTGAAGAGGCACTTAAGTTTACTGCACTGAGTCTGTGACCTCTGTTGTGGAACTGGTGTGTTGGCACCGAATGTTCATGAACATTCCAATTTCTCAGAGAACAAAACTGCCAAAATGTTTGCAGTCTGCTTCAGAGGAAATCTATCACTTTGGCTGGAATTACAATCTCATACAGACCCTAGTGATTTGCATTCTGGATCCTGGCTGAGAACAGGGATGAAATCCAACTAAGGAGAGAATATAGGGGGCAAGGACCCCACAAAAAAGTGAATGAAATTAAGAGTGGGTATGACTTCCTCTCCATTATAGATTCTACTTGAATCTGTTACACATTTACCATCAGCATAAAGTGGCAATGATTCCAAGATGTAGATGGGAAGATCAAATTTCAGACATGGATTTGAACCAGACAATTTCTTGGGTGATTTTTTCTCTATTAGGACTGCTCCAAAATTATTCAGCATAGATGATGTAAGGGTTTTAGCCAAAATACCATAAATGTTTTTGTAAAGCCCAGACAATAAAATACTTCTGAATTTCATTATCAAAAACTGCATGACTTTTGCTGTAGAATATCATTGGGTTTGCTCCAAAAGTTGTCATTTATACAGTTTATAGGAAGAAATAAAAATCAGTAAGGTAGCCTACAACTGTGAAGTTAGGCAAGCAGAAGGAAGCCATATAATGCCTCTATCGAGATCCTAGCTAATCAACTCCAAATAGATCAAGAGAACTTGTTTTGCTGTTTGTTTACTGCAGACTCTGACCATATTTGTCTCTTGAGCATTCCCATCTCTAATAGACTTGACATTATGCTATTGAGTTTGTGCAGCACAAAAGATGGATTCGTAGCAGTGAGAAGGAAACTGTCAACTGATTGTAAAAGCAGAGGATTTTTATATAATTCCAGTGTAAAATCATAGTTGGTTGATATGGCACTGCAGATGGTATGGAGGATCTTAAAGTACTATTGCTCCAAATTGTATGAAGAGTAATTTCTTTTATAAAAGTTGCTATGGGGGCACAGACACGATTGAGAAATAGCCTTAACTTTCACTCTTTTATGCATTATTTGCCAGTTTGGAAGTTGCTGCTTGCAAGGAGAGGGGGGAAGTGTGCCTTTGCTGAGATAATTTGGCTGGTGCTCCCTTGCGTTGGGACACACATTCAAAAACACTTTGAACTGAAAATAATGAAATGAAGAGCCACAACATCCTCATCTGGATGTACCTCCAATCTGTACTTGTTGCCGAAGACAGAAAGTTGGCCCAGTTGCCTCAACACCAGGAAGCTATTACCTCTAGCCCAGGCCAACACGCTTTCATAAAGACATATGAAAAATTCTGGAAAGGAGCGGGGAGAATGTTAAATACATCTGCACCTCCATTGTCTCAGGATAAGCTTAAACGCTTTTCCTCCTTGCAAATCATGCTACAGAATGGGATCTGTAGCAACATTTGCAATACATAGTTTATTATTTATAGATTTATATTAGCTCCATTTGATGGCTGTACTTGAGGCTAGATCATCAGTTTAACAAGGTTCATCACAATCCAAAATGAAAGTATTGTTCAGTAGGACAGTAAAGCAAAAGCACTTAAACTGATTTTTAAAGGGGTTCTTGTGACATGCTACATGCACCAGAACAGTATCTGCTTGAGGAATTTTAACTAAGGATAAAAGTAGCAGTGTTCCTTTCCTTTACAGCTTATGAAATGATGGTATTGTGAAGATGACTATCCCTTTCTCATATGAGTTCTGATCAGGGCTCAGCTCTATCCATTCCAGTCCCTCTCACTGAACGGTGTTCTCATTTATGGAGAAGAAAATTATGAAAGCGGCATAATCCAGTAGTCAGTTCCTGAGCAATCTAGCCCAGCATCTGGGGCAAATGTCTCATCTACCCAATGGACAGGAGAGGAGTGAGTAGATCAGTTTGTATTTTATGAATGATGCTGATTCCTTGGGAGTTCCAGTGAAGCGAACCATGCACGCTGCAGGTGCCAACTCTGTAGTCATGTTCTAAGCCAATTAGGGAAGCCTAGAGCCAGATGGCTGAAAATGAGCAAGATTATACAGTACATTTTATTTACTGGTTAGGGTTATCA